AACTTAGGAACCTAGCCTTCCTCTCCTCTGACAGTCGCAGGGTTTGTTTCTTCATTTTCCTTTTATAAACTGGAAAATATTTGACGTTCTGTATGAAAGCTGAATTGTTCTATTTCTCAGTTACTTAGGAGCAATTACAATTAAGTTGTTGAAAAGTATAAATATCAGGACTAAGTTTAAAGATATTTAATGGGACTTAACAATCAACTAAACCAGTTATTTTCCCTTCCCCTCTGGCAAGGCATATGGTCCATTCCAAAGTTAAAAAGAAAACAAAACTGGACTGAAACTAAATTTGTACTTCTTGTAATAAATGTTCTGCTTCTGGCTTACCTTCCTGGTACCTTACAACAGTATATTAATTGTAAAGTTTGTTGTATAGTATTTAACCACTGAATTTATGTTGTGCTTATGTGAACCCCTTGGTGAAGGTCCCTTTTCCTTGGATAATGTGTAGCTATATGATCTTTTTAAATGTACAGATATTTTGCTATAAAATTGGTGTTTTTTTATGGTTTTTACACTTCTCTTTAATTCCCACCTACGGCTCTGGCTAATACTGTAAATATTGTTTAAAAATGCATCAGCCTGTGCTATACAATCTGAATGTTATTTTAACTTATAGGGTTTTTTTAAATATATATTTAACTACAAGGACCGTGTAGGGATCAGTTATATTTCACTTTCGTGTACCTATTTACAGATTACTTTTAAACTGCCACCTGCTGGCCTATTTCTATAAGTATGTACTTTAAAAAGAACATGCCAAGATTTTGTCTGTTGGGTTTAACATTCATTTTGATGAAAATAGTAATTTGACCATGAGACAGAAGACAAAACAGTTGGACTGTTACCACAGTGCAGCTGTTTTCCTAAGCTCAGTGCTGACATGCACGTCCAAATAATTGCCTATATATTAATGAACAAGTAGACAGTGATGCTGGCATGTTCTTTTCTGTTTTGTCTATTGAGGGGCCTGCTTCCTACCAGTGTTAGAAAAATGTTTTATAAAAGCAATTCATGTTACTTTTCTGGTCTTTTCATGCCATCTGAGCAAATAAACTATTTACACTACTATTCTGTAATGTTGTAATCTTTCAGTGGTACATTTTAAGGGATTTAAGTTTTATGTAGACTTTCTTCTGTGAAAAGATATGTCTTGCTTGTTGAACTCAGAATCCAGAACTGATTGGTAAATTTTACGAATTGTTGCCTATACAAACTACTTTTTTTTTTTTTTTTTTT